TAAAATTTTCTCATTGAACCTAGTTTTAATTGTGAAACAGAGCAATATGAGAAGACAAACTCGTTCGATGAGTTCATCACCTTATTCAAATTCGGTTTCAATTGAGAAATCGAGCAACATGAGAAGAGAAACTAGGTCGATGAGTTTATCTCCTCATTCAACCCCAATTTTAGTTGAGAAATCGATAGATGAACGAAATATATGAAGACAAAATCGTTCTGACAGTGTTAAAGTGTTAGAATCTCGAAAGGATGTTGTTGGACAATTTGAGAAAAAGAAGAGCAAAAGGGTTAGAGTGGATGATGATGAAGGTAAGAGAAAACGTGTCGTGGAGGACGAAGTGAATTTCAGAAGGTACAAAAAGTTAAAATTCCTGACAAAGTTTGTAAGGTACATACAATTTAAGTTATACTTTTTTCTATTGTTGAATCTTCTTTTAAATTGGATTTAGTTTGCATTTGTTTGTTTTTAATTCGTGTCATGTATTTGTAGCCTTGGAAGCTCTATATTCCAGTTGGTTAGCCTTTTCCTGTTACTCATTGGACATCATACACTAATGTGAACATCGTATCAGTTTTACAATCAAAGTTGACTGATGTCCAGCTTCGGATGTTTAGGGAAAGCTGTTTTGGCTATTTCCTTGATTTACCTCGAGTTGCTATCCAGGCACAACTTGTTCGTTCTTTAATGTTTAGGGAGTTGGTTCAAGATAAGTGTGATCACTTTTTGTGAAATTGAATGACGAATGTTTTTACATTTTGGTCTTCGGGAATTTGGTATTATAAGTGGTTTAAACTGTTGTGACAATGAACATGTTGAGGGTAACTTCAATGGACCCAATAAGTTGGTGGATACTTATTTTTCTGGTTTTGAAGTGGTGTCAAAGAAGTCCCTTATTAATTGTTTTGAGGAAAAGAAATGGCAGTCTGATGAAGGAACAGTTACGATTGCAATCATTTATTTCATAAACGCATTTCTAATGTCCACTCAGGCTCATAAGACATTTATAAATAAACGTGATTTCCATCTTGTCGAGAGTGGTGAGTATGTGTCGTTTCCCTGGGGTAAGATCGCATTTCGAGCTTTAATGAAGTCGGTGAGGGACAGGTTGAGGGGAAAGTCTGAGTTTTATAGGATTGGTGGATTTCCTCTTGTAGTAGGTGTGTGGTTCTATGAATGTTGGACTGTAGTTGATCAAAAGTTTGTTGTTCGCGTTGGAGATCATACACCACTCATAGTGAATTGGGAAATGACAGACAGGCTAACGCGTGAGGATTTCTCCACTGATTTCTTCAACAACACATGGAATAAGGTACCGGCTTTTATGTCTTGATGGGATATACATATATAATACACTGTAATTCATTGTGATACATCTTTGATAAATCTAGGAATGAAGAACCTTTGGTTACATTTGCAGTTTAAAATATTTCTCCGACAACCGAAGAGCTAAGGAGATTTACTTTGCCTGTTGAAGTTAATGATGAGTATCAGAAATATTTGACATCACGTAACAGGGGAAAACTTCCTATTGATGATAGCGATGATTTTGTCACGCCACCCCCAAAATAGATTAAGGAGCCTGTCCCACCAAAAAAGGCACCGGGTGTCCAACCTGTTGATTATGATCGTGAGTTGCAGAAGTTGAAAGCTGATGTGAAACAAGTTTGTATCGTTTATATATATTTTTGAAATTATTGTTAAAATTGTATATTCAAAGTCTATTATCTTTCTTATTTATTTCATCTTGTAGCTCGATAAACAGTTAAATTCCTTCATGGAATATGTTTCTGATAAATTCAAGGAAGTCTTTGAGTTGATAAATTTCAAGGGATGTGTTTCTTCTCCATTGTGCATTTTCATTTACTTTTTTAGTTAACTTACTGTATCCTTTTTTTTAGAATAGCTTGGTGTAAGCGAAGACAAATATAGTGCACATCCAGAGGAAGACACCAGTGGTCGTCAAGACAATAATAATTTTGTGAGCAAAATGGAGTTTAGTGGCAATGAAGATGTTGAAATGGATGGTTGTAAGGTGTGTTTAGTTGTTCATTCTGCACTTTTCCCTTTTCTTTTCTTTGTTATTTTTGATAATTCAATTCTTTTTAAAAAAGAAAAAATAGGTCGGTGGAAGCGAAAGAAAAGATGTTCCACATTCTCAAGGAGATACTAGTGAGTATCATTGTAACAATATTGTGCTCGATGCAGCAGATCAATTAGGTGTCAATATCATGGAAGGACTTTTTGGTGTGAACGCTAACATGTTCGTTGCTAAAGTAACTTTCACTCAAGATGTAGCGCATGCTGGCGCTATTGGTGAGACTGTAGATGAGGTGGCAGGGGAGATGGAGGATGAATCTGAGAAACAAAAGGTTCCCGAATCTCAGACTGACATTATTTGTATGACTGCAAGTGTTGATGAGGCGGTAGGGGAGATGAAGGAACAATTTGAGAAAGAGTTTGTTGAATCTCAGATTGTTTTGTACCAGCCCGAATTACTTCCTGAAGTTTCGCCGCAAATGGAAAAAAGAAAGAGATGTCCTGCAAAGGCCGTGCAGTTTCCATTCATTACTGTATTTGATTCAGCTTCCAGTACTGGTGTTATTGCTGCGAAAGAAAAAAGCAAATTTATGTTGTTAAGAATCCTTCTCAAAGCAAAATCGGAACTGGCGTTAACAGCTCTTTGTTGAATGTATTTGCTGCGTTGGTCAAAGAAGGGAAGTCCAGAAATAAGTATGTTTCCAACTTCTGATTTTGTTCAGTTTTATATTTTAATATATTGTCACTTATGGCATTATTTTATATCAAATCACTGTATCTCTTTTGTGTATATCTGTTACCAGGAATGAAATTTACCCAAAGCATGTTAGTGAACTCAATCCTGCTTGATCTTGGTGTATATCATGTTGAAGACAAAAAATAGTTTTACACTTTGGCATAAATGGTCAGCCTTTGGATGACTCGGTATGTAAGAAGTTACTTTTATAGTTTTTTTTTTAATTTTAGCCAGTGTACACATGATCAGTCCTCTTAAGTTAGAACAAATTATTAATTGCTATCTCGCCTGGCACAAGAGAAGTAGTGAGCATTCATTTTTCTTTGTTTTCTGTGAATTTGGTTTGAAAAACCGTAGCTGCTTAAACCATACGAGCCTTCAGTGATTAATTATTTGTTATGTTTTGTCTCAGCACATTGATGTTTTGTTCTATTATCTAAGGAAGAAGGGTAAGTATGAGAAAGACCTACCTGTAACATTCACCACCACAGATTGGTACTTCGACGAGAAACTTAATGAATTGTGGCAGGCGTTTATTGATACAGATGGAGACAGTGATGTGTGCAATCCAAAACATGTCATTGCAGAGTATATTCAGGGGTTTGTCTTGGATGCCAATGTTCCATGGTACACTATCGAGCATGTCTTAGTGCCAATTAGTGTTGCAGAACAATGGCATTGGATAGTGGCTGTGATGTCCTTCAAGGATAGGTGCATTTATGTGTATGACTTTATGTGCGATGGAGCTGCTCATCAAACCAAAGTTCATAAGACCATGGTCAAGTATTCTGTGTTGCTGCCTCATTTTTTCGTGCACACGTATTTCTATTTAAACAAAAAAGATATCAATTGGCGCACTGATGTCTACAAATCAAATGACTTGATTACCCTTTTTGATATAAAACTGGTTGAAGGACTGCCTCAACAAGTCGAAGCGTATGAATTTCTTTCAACACAATTTATTTTGTTTTCAGATTTTTGATAATTGTTGTTCTTTTTATTTATTACAGTGATTGCGGTGTATTTGCGGCATCACTTGCCGAGTATTTGATTAAGGGCAAGATGCCTCCTAAAAAATTCAATGCCTAGCACACCAGCGCAGATTTGGTGCTCTCTTGTGGGATTATGCTAGAAAGAAGATGGAACTGAACGCGCAAAGTGATGATGAGATTATTGGTCGACAGAATAAGTCGCGGAAGCGGAAGAAGTAGTTACTTTTGTCATTGTTGTAGGATGAACTCAATAATTTCGTTTTGTATTGTGTTCTGTTATGTAGTCATTGTTGTAAGACGGATCAGATTTTTTTGTGTTTGAATTTTATGAATACTTTTAAGAATTGTATGGAAAATGAGATATTTGCCCTGTTATAAAGGTTTAATGAGTTTCAGTGCAATATTAAAGTGTTGCAGTTTAGTTTATTTTGGTGTTTTCTCCTTTGATTTTGTGTTGTGAATTAAAGATATAAAAAATATACAGTAGTTTGTGATACATTGTCTCTTGTAGATACACGCATGATACACACATGATACACATATGATACAAATATGATACACATATAATACACACATGATAAATAGATGATACAGTCGTTTTGGATTGCTGCAGAGTTAGTTTCTTAACAATGAGTTCTGCAGTTAGTTTTCTAGCTGCTACGACTGTTTTCCATTAGTTAGCTTTGTTACTACACAAAAACAGACATGAGTAAGAGCCGATACAAAGAGATACATAGGTGATAGACAAGAGATACATAGATGATACATAGCTGATACAACTTCTTTTTAATCAAACAGATGCATAGTTTATCGATACACGTAGATACATAGGTGATACACAAGAGATAAAAATATGATACATAGCTGATACAACTTCTTTTTAATCAAACATATATATACTTTAAAAAATACACTTGCAACACGATTTTAAATGATAGATCAGATATTTATTTATATCTAAAATTCAAATGACATTCTGCATTGATACAATTCTTGATATATTGGATTCTTCCAAATCTCTATGATATTCAGTAAAGTAAAATAAGAAGTAATTTTAAGTTTGACATATTTTACCCTTTCTTTGGATTATTTCTACAAGTTTTCCTGTTGTGACCTTCTTCTCCACATTGTCCACATAAAATCGACCTTTTCTGTTCCCTTTCTGATATTGGCTTGCACCTCTCCTTCCTTGGCCTTCCTATTATTTTAGTCACGTCTGGTGGCAAAATTTTTTAATCTAAAACTGCTGCAGGAATTTTCCATGTGCTTTCATTAGGAACCGGATAAATTAGAATTTCATAGGCCTTCAATAGGTACTTCCTGGTGTAGTACATCGAGCAATACTCAATGTGATCAATGTATTTGTATTTTAATACAGCCCAAGCATGTGCACATGGCATCTCATCCAACTGAACTCTTCTACAGCTACAAGTTCGATCTTTTAGGAACACCATTCTCTGCTTATCCTTGTCAAGTACTGAATATAAGTAACTCGTCGAAGGGGTCACCTACAAAATTTATCAACTATCATTAGTGGTGACAAAGCAGATGCCCTCAAAATACATATATATTATAGAGCCTACAAGATTCAAAATAGCTTAATATCATGTCAAACCAACCAATATTTCAACAGTGGGGTAGGCATAGATGCTACATTAAATTGAAAGCCTTTGCTTTTGTGCAGGTGAAAACTAGTTTAACAGAATCACACAAAGGGTTCAAGATATAACAAGTCCGTGAATTCGGCATGATTACATATTATATGCACAAGTATCTACATATTCTAGTCATACCTTCATCCGATGCGACAATTCGAGATTGTCCATCAACATTGTAGCATATTTTTCCCCAAGATCAGTAAATGACTGTATTGCATTCTTTTGGTTTGTAACATTCTATCGTCCGATCAATTGCCTTATGTACTCCAGCAAAGGCAGTACTGGAAGTTCCCTAGCAGCCTTGAGCGCTGCATTGATCGACTCCGCAATGTTTGAAGTTATTGTAAATGTTCTATTGACAATGGAATGTGCTATGGACCATCTTTCATACCCAACGTTCATTAAGTAATCTTTGACCCTCTTATCAATTTTCTCTACCTCTTCCATGTGGTAACTTCTCAACTGTGTATGCTTTGGACATAGCAAAGAATATGTCTTTGAGCTGCAAATGGTTCTTCTTCTAATTTTTTTAAAATATTATTCCATAGATGCCATATGCAGACACAGTGAGGTACTTGTGGATAAAATGTTGCTGCTGCATTTTCAATGCCTTCATGCATGTCCGAGACTATGCACATTCCCTCCCTTTCCCAAATGCAGCCTTGAACCTCGCGAAAAACTACTCCAAGGAAGCATTATTCTCTGAATCTACTATGGCGTATGCGAGTGGTAGGATACTACCTAATAAATTCAATCATATAAACATATGTGAGTGTGTGTGTGTGTATATATATATATATATATATATATATATATATATATATATATATATATATATATATATATATATATATATATATGTCACGACCCAAACTGGATGGGCCGCGACGAGCACCCGGTGCCTTACTCAACCGAGTACCAACATAACATATCTTTCTTATTATACTGTCATGGTAAATGAGAAAACTCGTCATGAGATAACAAGAATGAAACATAGGGGAATACTCAACATATGATGACCCACCATGATATGCAAACTTATACATGTGACATACGGGCCTATAAGGCCGACGTGACCATTTGTAAACTCAAAACATAAGCTGAAAAGGCCATACAAGTATCCATACACCTGACATCTGTCTACAAGCCTCTAAGAGTACCTAATATCATAAAGGTCGGGACAGGGCCCCGCCATACCAATCAATACATATCCAAAGCATACTGACTAAATAGGCAACTCCGAAGCAAGTGGAGTGCACAACGCCTTCCGTTGAACTGATAGCCTATTTGGAGGAATGTCAACCTGTCTATCGGGACCTGCGGGCATGAAATGCAGCGTCCCCAGGCAAAAGGAACGTCAGTACAAATAAAGTACCGAGTATGTAAGGCAGGAGAGCATAAACAAGAACAGTAATGTAAAGAGAGATAGAGGAGATACAACCTGTAACATCTGAGTGCCTCTGGGGGATACTGACATGAAATGCATAATACATATATATACATAAACTTTTACATACATACGCCTCTGTGGGCATCATCATCATCATATCGTACCCGGCCTCAAAGAGGACTCGGTAAAAACGTACCCGGCCATCATAAGGCTCGGTAGAATCATACCCGGCCACATGGAGCTCGGTAAAACCCAACCGATCAGTGGTTGCACAATAGGTGCCATACCCGGCCGACTATAGCGCGGCTCGGTAGAGTAAAGTAGATACATATATAATGCATGCTAGACTCATGGAATCACGTTCTAAACCTTTTGGAGTGACGTAAAGTCATTGCACCATTGATTAACATTATGGACATCATACCATCAATATGAACTTCACTAGGATTCAAGGATCATGCATACTTTCTTAGAATAACTTTGTACGGAAAGAACAACATGGACAAACGTAGTTTCTAGGAGTAGATTCATTATGAAATAGCGTATCGTTTATGTTCATTTCATGTTAGATCATGCCAAAAGAAAGAAGGAAGTGCCTTAACATACCTTGTATATTCTTCCCAACCTCAAGCTATGCAATTTCGCGGCTCCTTAGTCTACAATAAGAGAAATGACACTCTCGTTATCGTTTAAGCGTCGTAACTATTATGTATCGACCACAATCTATTTTACAATGAAATGGACAGCACCTCCCCTATATATATGACTTCACACTAGTCAAAACAATCACAAACAGCCCAACATACCCCTATCACTTTATACACAACACGGCAACCATAGTAGTGTCAAACAATCCGAAAATGTTACGATGAACGACCAACAAACAACCTTGCCATTATGTGTGTTTCTCCACACCCTTCCTCCTTTCAACTCCATGAAAACAGTAGTAAAAGAGACAACCCAATACCAACACGAAACAGCCCAAAAATAGTCCCACAAGTTCATCAACTCAAACATAATTTTTCTGTTTACTTAAACACGTTTCGACTTGTCTTTTCTTTCAAATTCAGAAATACAACCAAAAGTACATCATTACACCTCTTATCCAATAAATCAGCCATGAATTTAACTTAAAAATAAGTTCACAACCAGCCAACCATTGCACAAGATCAAACAACATACCATTCTTCCGAAACTAGCTAGGTCTATTCTTTACGATCGAGTTACAACTCGCAAACGCATAAATAATGGAAGGAGAAGCATAAACATACCTTGTACTGAGTATCACCCACGAAACCTGGTCCTTTTTCATCAAAAATAAGTTCCTCAACATGGATACAAGAAGGAGAAAGAGAAACTAGCATGCTGTCCGGACTTTTCAGCACTAGAATCGTGTCGTAACACCCGGAATACCCTAGGGTTTGTGTGGGATTTTTGGGGAGGAGTTGCAGGGGTTCAATTAGGTTTTCAAAGTCTGGAAGATGGGTGAAATAATTGAGTTTATAATCCTTTAAATTTCCCCTCTTGTCCGACTTTAGGAGGTTTAATTGAGACCTCTCCTTTTGGCAAGTAGGTGATGCACCTACTTGTCACCTACCAGTCTGCGCTGTCTCGCGAAAATGCAAATATCTCTCTTTTCCAATAACGTATGAACAAACGGTTTACTGTATTAGAAACTAGACTCATAGATCTTGAACTTGATAGGTAGATCATCCCCTAATTCCAAGTATATTAGGAGAAAAACTCAGTTACATTTGACCTAATGTTCAGCACATTTATGAATGGAACTTGTGATGACCTTTTTCCAACTTTTGTTCCACGACTCGCTTGACTTCAAAACATAACACCAACTATCGTACGACTAAAATAACTCATAATATAATCTCCTTATAATATTAATAACCCTAGTATCACCCCAAAAATACATGGTAAAACATTCCAACTTGTCGACTTTCGACGAAACTTATTTTTTTCAATTCGTTTAGCTTCTAAGCCTTCAAACCCTCTTGCTACTTGGTACTAATGATCTTAAATGTTTGTAACCTCCACGTTAATATGATGAACTAACTTTGTAAGCTTTTAAAAGATGATTCCCTTTCTGAGCTTACATTAATTGACTTATGATGTACTCTTACGTACGAAAACACGGGGTGTAACATCATTCCCCCCTTTGGAACATTCGTCCTCGAATGTTGATTAATGCGCTTATCAGTCTCATAACCTGTAGCTCTTAAGAATTCTTTAATATTGTCCTTGACATCTAGGAAACTGTTCTGTAAATAAATTCAAAGGCCAGGCTATTCCCACCTTTAGGCTTCTTTCTCATACCACCACATCTGGTCGGAATTTGTCCAACATCGTAACATTTGCTACCTTATGTCATGCAGTATGTACGACTGTGTCATTGTATGAGTGCCTAGTGACTCGTCTTCCCTTTTTCCTCCATCTTTTAGCCAATCTCTAAGCCTCACTTTATGAACCTATACAGAATTATGACAAGCTGTCCCTCTAGGAATCTATAGGTGTACTGATGTCTTTCGCTTGGTACTTTATCGAACTTAAGACTATTGCTATCTCTTGTTTCATAGCCTTGTATATCTATCCTTATGGATTTACTACATCTAGGTAGGTTATACTATACCATAAAACTTACTTCGGTTTATTATTACCGAGGTTTGCTACCCAACTCCAGGTTACTCTTTCGCTGCTTATCCTATATGTATAAATCTAAGTCCTTTAGTGCTTCCTCATTATTATTCATCTTAAGAATAACAAACAAATCTCATCTTGTTCTTGGAACTTGTACCCATCTATTGTTTATTCACCTTAATGTTGAAATATAATCTATCACTGATAACTTGTAACCTCTTACGTAATACACTATCACTAGGGCTCACATCTTATCGAGGAACATCTGAAGTGATTTTCCTGATCCACCTAGGGATAATACTATACTTCAATAACCATATTTCATTGCATCCCAATGCGATTCATCTTATGGGGGTATTCTAATCCCGTGCAATTATAAAATCCCTTTCTCGTTAAATCATTACTCAATCAAAGGCCTAAGCGTCATCCTCTTATCAATCACAATTACACCCTTATTCTACTGCCAGGGCAGCATTCCATCTCTTCTAAATGCACCTAGTCTTAGACTCCTTTGTGTTCATTCAGGCTGTACCGAGCTCTTTATTACATATGGAAATCATCAGCTCCCTTGTTTTGATGGGTTTAATCCCAAGGAGATACATATTCTCGTCACCTTCTCACTCACCTTTTCACATCCTTACTCCTATCTACCTAAAACCTTGTTGCTCTACAATACATTACTTTAGGACCTACACCGATCTATTTATACTACTCGCAACCTTCCTTAAACTTGCTAGCACCATAAATTTCCTTTCGTGCCTTCTCAGTTGTCCTTAAATATAAGCAATTACTTTTGCTGGTCGTTCTATCACTTGTTGCATGAATACTTGGCCTGTCTTTTTGCCCACGAATACTGTAATTTCCTGTACCTCATATGATCTCAA